TCCGAATACCTTCTAAATACCAGTGAGAGTTGTAGAGCTAAACATGAAAGGAATCAGGATATTCTGAACCATGCAGCCCCTAGGACTCCCCCCCCCACTTCTGCTCAGTAAGCAGTGGTTGTCTACAGCAGGCACAACGCATCTGAAAACAGAAAATTGGCCCCTGGGTTCAAGATGGTGGTGAGCCCCAAATCAAAACATCCCAACCCAGATTAGCTCAACAACACTCCACTGCTTTCTGCAATGGATGGCAAGGGTTAGGAGTTCAGGGTTAAGGGTTAGGAGTTCAGGGGACTGCCTTGAAATGGCTTTCTTCCTTTCTCCATGGTCGGGGACAGAGGGTGGCGCTTGGCGAGAGGGTCTCCCCACAGTATCCGCTAGAACAGTGATGGCGAACCTTTGAGAGACCGAGTGCCCAAACTGCGACCCAAAATCCACTTATTTATCGCAAAGTGCCAACACGGCAATTTAACCTGAATACTGAGGTTTTACTTTAGAAAAAACAACTCATACATTAACTTAAGATGATCCAAACAAAGTAAGGAAAGCAATCCCAAATGCTTTCATTTACTTAAAATTAGTTGCCAGAGAATTCGACACTTTAATGGTGGTCTGGGCTTGGCTGGGGCGATGGCACACGTGCCCACAGAGAGGGCTCTGAGTGCCACCTCTGGCACCCGTGCCATAGGTTCGCCACCACTACGCTAGAAAGCGGAGTGCCGCAGGGGGCCATCCTCTCGCCAGTGTTTAACATCTATAAGCGCCCCCTCGCCCACTTAGTCCGGAGTTATGGGCTGGGCTGTCACTAATATGCTGATGACACCCAGTTCTGTTAATGGATGGCCATCCATCTTCTGTTCCCAAAACGCCGGGTGAGGCCTTGGAAGCTGTGGCTGGATGGTTGCGGCAGAGTCGGCTGAAGTGAAATCCATCGAAGACGGAGGTCTTATATCTGGGTCAAGGGGACATGGATGTGGGCACCGGGCTTCCCACACTGGAAGGGGCACCTTTGGTGCCAGCCCAAACCGTGAAGAGCCTGGGAGTAAGTGACACTGGATGCCTGTTTGTCTATGGAGGCCCAGGTTGCCGCAGTTGCCAGATCTGCATTCTTCCATCTTAGGCAGATCAGGCTTTGTTGTTGTTGTTCAGTCGCACAGTCGAGTCCGACTCTTCGCGACCCCATGGACCAGATCCCGCCAGGCCCTCCTGTCTTCTGCCGTCCTCTGAAATTTGCTCAACTTCATGTTTGTTGCATCTATGACACTGTCTAACCATCTCATCCTTTGCCGTCCCCGTCTTCTTTGACCTTCAATCTTTCCCAGCATCAGGGTCTTCTCCAGGGAGTGCTCCCTTCTCATTTGGTGGCCAAAGTATTTGAGCTTCAGTTTCATTATCTGGCCTTCCAGGGAACAGTCAGGGTTGATTTCTTTGAGGATTGACTGATTTGTTCTTCTTGCAGTCCAAGGGACTCTCAAGAGTCTCCTCCAGCACCATAGTTCAAAAGAATCTATTCTTCGGCGCTCGGCCTTCCTTATAGTCCAGCTCTCGCAGCCATACATGACTACTGGGAATACCATTGCTTTGACCATGCGGACTTTTGTTGGCAGAGTGATGTCTCTACTTTTTATCATGCTGTTTAGGTTCGCCATCGCTTTCCTCCCAAGGAGCAGGCGTCTTTTAATTTCAGATCAGATCAGGCTACTGAAGCCATATCTTTCTCCCCAAGACCTAGCTGCAGTGATCCATGCAATGGTCACCTCCAGGTTTGATTACTGCAATTCGCTCTACGCAGGCTTACCCCTGAAACTGATCCAGAGATTACAGCCGGTACAAAATGTGGTGGCACGCCTGCTGATGTCGACGCCTGTGCAGGCTCACGTTCGCCATGTGCTTTGCCAGCTGCACTGGTTACCAGTTGAATACCAGATCCACTTCAAGGTGTTGGTAATCACCTTCAAAGCCTTATACGGCCTCGGACCAACATATCTAAGGGACCGCCTCTTCCCTTATACGCCTCGAAGAGCTTTATGCTCTAGTAATCAACATCTCTGGCCCCAAAGATGTCTGTCTAGCCTCGACCAGGGCCAGGGCCTTTTCTGTCCTGGCCCCCAACTGGTGTAACATGCTCCCCATCGAACTCAGGGCCCTGCAGGATCTTACTCAGTTCCACAGGGCCTGCAAGACGGAGCTGTTCCGCCACACAGGGCTCTTTATGTAGAAAAAGCCCAGCAGGAACTCATTAGCATAATAGGCCACACCCAACAGCAGGAACTCATTAGCATATTGGGCCACACTCCTGACATCACAGCTCATTAGCACATTAGGCCGCACCCCCATGTTACCAAAAGTGTGGTTATCCAGCCACACCAACCTTTTGCTTGTTATTCTGTTTACCTTGTTTGTGGTCAAAACCCAGGGCTTTTTTTGTAGCAGGAACTCCTTTGCATGTTAGGCGACACACCCCTAATGTAGCCAATCCTAATGAGTTTCTGCTGTTGGGTGTGGCCTATTATGCTAATGAGTTCCTGCTGGGCGTGGCCAACTCAGGAGCCAGCTGGAACTCCGGTCCTGTGCGTTCCTGCCCCAAAATAGCCCTGCCGCCACACTTTTGGTTGAGGCAGCGGGTGTCCACATATGGCCTCCCTGAGGTTGCTGTCTCCTATCTACTGGCCACCCATCTGCCAGCAACCAGCCATATCCATCAGTATGAATGGGTCGGAATTTTCACCAGCAGCTATAACTACTGATTTTAAATGTTTACAATGTAAATGTTTTATTGTGTTTTAAACCTGACTGTATTATTTAAGATGAAGTGACCCGCCCTGAGCCCTCTTACGGGATGGGCGGGATACAAATACGATAAATAAATAAATAATAAATAAATTTGTGAGAAACCGGGGAAGTGCAAGCATCACATCCGAGCAGGGTGGAGTGTACCCCCTCAGAAGTAGCATAATAGGGGGTTAGAACATCAGACTAAGGTCAAGGAGACCCAGTTCTGAATCCCCATCGCGCTACAGCAGGTTGCTGTTTGGCCAGGTACATAATCTCAGCCAGAGCTACCTTGCAGGGTTGTTGTGAAGTTAAAGTGGGAGAAGAATGTAAGCCTGTTTGGAGAAAGGGAGGTGGAGGATGAGAAGGGCAGGGTTGGGGGTAGGGAGAGCCCTCAGCGGAGTATGATGCCATGGAATCCATCCTTCACAGAAGCCATTTTCTCCCCGGGAAATGGTCTCTGTGCTGTGGAGATAAATTATTTCAGAAGATCTCTAGGCCCCACCAAGAGGATGGCTGCCCCAGGTGGGGCTGTTATATATTCAAACTACCATTAAATATTGCAAACAGGCTCACTTCAAATAAAAAAGTCATAACAATCCCAGCACAGTGAAATTGCAGCACACTACTTGAAAAGTCCCCTGGAAGAGGGTTGAACTGCAAACAGTGTACTGACACTGAACCGGCTCCATATTCTCAGCTGGAGAAGGTGAGCTGAACTGGCCAGTGTTCAAGCTTTGTTGTTGTTCAGTCGCACAAGCGAGCGATCCCACAACTCTTTGCGACCCCATGGACCAGATCATGCCAGGCCTTCCTGTCTTCCGCCGTCCTCTGAAGTTGGCTCAATTTCATGTTCGTTGCATCTATGACACTGTCTAACCATCTCATCCTTTGCCATTCCCGTCTTCTTTGACCTTCAATCTTTTCCAGCATCAGGGTCTTCTCCAGTGAGTGCTCCCTTCTCACTTGGTGGCCAAAGTATTTGAGCTTCAGTTTCATTATCTGGCCTTCCAGGGAACAGTCAGGGTTGATTTCTTTGAGGATTGACTGATTTGATCTCCTTGCAGTCCAAGGGACTCTCAAGAGTCTTCTCCAGCACCATAGTTCAAAAGAATTCAAGCTTTCCTACCATACAAAGGAAGCTGTTCTGATCCAGCAGTGCCTGATGTCACCCTCTAAACACACCCCTCACACACTCCACAGTAAGCCTCCTTGCCTTTCAGCAGAACTGAGTTTGATTCCGCTTCGTGAATTAATGACAAAGATCCTAAGCATGGAATTCTGTAGTCAATTGCACAGTTGGAAAGAGAGAGTCGGAACGAATCTTGGAAGCCATCTAGTCGAGCCCCCACACCCTGGTGGCGTCCTGGTGGCTTTCTAGAATGGTTCGCTCAAAAGGGTTAAAGAGAAGGCGTAACCATTCCTAGACAGGCTCCAACACGGAAGGGCCATGTGACTTTTCGGCGGCGCTTCCGGCTTCGATTCCCTCACTGGGAAAAGTTGCCTTTCAAGTTTCCCAAGCGAGCAGCTCAGCCTGCTAACGTCCAGGCATTGCTGGCTGAAGGGGAGACGAGGCGGCCCGCGAGCCCTTGCAAAGGATTTTGCTTTTTAAAGAAATAGGTAGAAAAGTGATCCGTTGGTTTCCAGGTGGAGACTCTTTGGAGAGGAAGGAGACAACCTGGACCCAATAGATATGGAAGCTACCGAGGCTGCGAGCAGGAGGGAACCATGGGGCGAAACAGTGCAGAAGAGCCTGGGAGACAACGGCCTCCCTCCAGATGTGCAGCGCCAGCTGTTCAGGCAGTCCGGCTACCAGGAGGCGGAGGGGCCCCGGGAGGTCTGCAGCCGACTCCACCGTCTTTGCCGCCAGTGGCTGAATCCAGAAAGGCATACCAAGAGGGAGATGCTGGACCTGGTGGTCCTGGAGCAGTTCCTGGCCGTCCTGCCCCCGGAGATGGAGCGCTGGGTGAGGGAGTGCGGGCCGGAGACCAGTTCCCAGGCGGTGGCCCTGGCAGAAGGCTTCCTCCTGAGCCAGGCAGAGGAGAAGGATCAGGACCTGCAGGTAAGGGGGCACATGATATGATCAAGGATGTACCCTCGACATTAATGTGAATGACTCCAATTTTTTGGAAACTCTCCCCAGCCAGTTTCTCATCAGTCTCCTCTTTCTGTGGGTCCACTTTTGTTTCAGGTGCAGGAGGAGATCACACAGCAGCGTAACCCTGGAGCGACTTTTCCAGGTAAGGCCTAAAGTTGTTGGGTTTTTTTACCCAGTGGGTGTCCTCCTTCAGTGTAGGTGTGCTGCCTTTATGTTCCCCTCTCCTCCTGATGTGTGGGAAAGATGCTCCACTCCAGCTTCTCAATTGAAAATATTCTGTGTCAGCCAAAGGAATTCTGTGTCTGAAACAGCATCTGGAGTTATGCCCATGAGCCAATAATACAGAAGATATATTTCCCCCAGTCCTCAAGGAACGGAAATGGAAAGGACAGAATGTCTTCCAAGTACCCTTTTTTCCTTCACAGGTGGTGAAATGAAACCGGTGGTGTGTTCTTTACCATCTGCTTGTGCCAAAGCAGCTTCTGTGAAGCCAGAGCAGGTAAATGTGGAACTGCGGATAATACCCCCCCACCTCTCCCCAGGCCTGAGAGATTATTCCTCTTTCCTTTCACTGCGGTCCTGCTCACTCAAGAGAAAATGAACTTACCTCATGAAGGTTTAAATGCTCCAACATCTAACCATAGTCCTTTTGGACTGCTCTCAGAAGGAAAAGATTTCCTACCTTGGTGTGAGGAAAGAGGGAACTTCAGATCACACCCCTGGGTGCCTCCCCCCACCTCTCCCTAGGCCTGAGAGATTATTCCTCTTTCTTTTCCTGCTCACTCAACAGAAAAGGAAGGTGCCTCATAAAGGTTTGAATGCTCCAGCATATAACCAGAATCCTTATTGATGGAGCTTAGAAGGAAAGAATTGCTACATTAGCGTGAGGAGAAAGAGGTTCCTTTTTTGTCTCTTTTCAGGGTATTGTGACAGTTGAGGAGGTGTCTGTTGATTTCACTGAGGAGGAGTGGGCTCTGCTGGATCCGGACCAAAGAATCCTTCACAACGAAGTCATGGAGGAGAATCGTCGGAATGTGGCCTCTCTGGGTAAGGCTTCCCTGTCCCTTGTTTCAGAGGTGCCTGAGGGAGAAATGGCTCCTTCTAAGAAGGAGAAGAGAAGAGAAGAAAAGATTGGATTTATACCCCGCCCTTCACTACCCAAAGGAGTCTCAGAGCTGTTTACAAACTCCTTCCCCTTCCCCTCCCCACAACAGACACCCTGTGAGGTAGGTGGGGCTGAGAGAACTCTTGACAGAAACTGCTCTTTTTCCAGGACAGCTCTGACAGAACTATGGCTTGTCCAAGGTCATCCAGCAGGTGCAAGTGGAGGAGTGGGGAATCAAACCCGGTTCTCCCAGATTAGAGTCCGTGCACTTAACCACTACACCAAACTGAAGGACGATAGTAGGGCTCTTCTCATAGGGACTGTCATAAGGGGAGTTGAGTGGCTCAGGTCCTCATGCAGGCAAGGGAGAAACTTCTGCATAAGTAGTCCCCTCTTTTTTTTTTTTTTTTTGAGAAAGTGACTACCTTGCTGGATCAGGGGATTACTGTAGACATAGTTTATCTTGATTTCAATAAGGCTTTTGATAAGGTTCCACATAATATTCTTGTTGACAAATTGGTAAAATGTGGTTTGGATCCTATGACTGTTAGGTGGATCTGTAACTGGTTGACAGATCACACCCAGAGAGTGCTTGTGAATGGTTCCTCATCCTCTTGGAAAGGAGTGACAAGTGGAGTGCCTCAGGGATCTGTCCGGGGGCCTGTTTTGTTCAACATCTTTATAAATGATTTGGATGAAGGGATAGAGGAAATGCTTATTAAATTTGCAGATGGCACTAAATTGGGAGGGGTAGCAAATACGGTAGAAGACAGAGTTAGGATACATGATGATCTTGACAGGCTGGAAAACTGGATTAAAATAAATAAAATGGATTTCAACGGGGATAAATGTAAAGTTCTGGATTTAGGTAAAATCAAATGGATAATTATAGGATGGGGGAGACTTGTCTTGGAGGTAGTATGTGCAAAAAGGATCTAGGGGTCTTAATAGACCATACACTGAACATGAGTCAGCTGTGTGATGTGGTAGCTAAAAAGGCACATGTGATTTTGGGCTGTATCAACAGAAGTGTAGAATAATAGAATCACAGAGTTGGAAGGGGCCATACAGGCCATCTATGCAGGATTAACTTCGAGCATCCCTGACAAGTGTTTGTCCAATCACTGCTTACAGACTGCCAGTGAAGGGGAGCTCACCACCTCCCTAGGCAGCTGATTCCACTGATACACAACTCTTACTGTAAAAAAGTTTTTCCTACCTTCCCACTCTTAAATTAAACCCATGATTGCGAGTCCTATCCTCTGCTGCCAACAGGAACAGCTTCCTGCCCTCCTCTAAGTGACAGCCCTTCAATGCAGTCATGTCCCCCCTCAACCTCCTCTTCTCCAGACTGAACATTCCCAAGTCCCTCAGCCTTTCCTCATAGGGCTTGTGCTCCAGGCCCCTGATCATCCTTGTCGCTCTCCTCTGCACTTGCTCCATTCTGTCCACATCCTTTGTGAAGTGAGGCCTCCAGAACTGCACACAATACTCCAGGTGTTGTCTGACCAATGCACTGTACAGCGGGACTATGATATCTTGTGATTTGGATGTTATGCCTCTGTTGATACTCCCCAAGACTGCATTAACCATTTTTGTCACTGCATCACGCTGGCTCTTCTTATTTAACTTACGGTCCACCCGTACCCCAAGATCTTGTTCACGTACACTGCTACCCAGAAGCGTATCTCTCATCCAGTATGCATGTTCCTCATTTTTGTTACCCAGATGTAGAACTCTGCACTTATCCTTGTTAGATTGCATATAGTGTCCAGATCACATGAAGGGATGGTACCACTTTGCTCTGGTTAGACCTCACTTAGAGTATTGTGTTCAGTTTTGGTTACCACAGTTTAAGAAGGATATAGACAAGCTGGAATGTGTCCAGAGGAGGGCAACGAAGCTGGTGAGGGGTCTGGAGACCAACTCCTATGAGGAAAGGTGGAAGGAGCTGGGTATGTTTAGCCTGGAGAGGAGACAACTGAGAGGTGATATGATAACCACCTTCAAGTACTTGAAGGTCTGTCATATAGAGGATGGGATGGAGTTGTTTTCTGTTGCCCCAGAAGGTCGGACCAGAACCAACAGGTTGAAATTAAATCAGAAGAGTTTTCGGCTAAACATTAGGAAGAACTTCCTGACAGTTAAAGCGATTCCTCAGTGGAACGGGTTTCCCCTGGAGGTGGTAGGCTCTCTTTTGGAGGTTTTCAAGCAGAAACTAGTTGGCCATATGACAGCAGTGCTGATGCTGATTCTGTGAACATAGGCAGATCGTGAGAGGGAGGGCAGGAAGTGTTGCATCAGGGCTTAGTTTTTGTGGCCCTGTCTTACATGCCCAGGGAAATGCCGATTGCCACTTTTGGGTCAGGAAGCAATTTTCTCCAGGCCAGTTTGGCCAGTGATCCTGGAGGGTTTCTTTTGCCATCTTCTGGGCATGGAGCAGGGGTCACTGGGTGTGTGGATGGGGTGGTATTTGTGAATTTTCTTCATTGTGCTGGGGGTTGGACTAGATGAGCCTAGAGGTCCCTTCCAACTCTTTGATTCTGTGGGCTATTCGGAGCCCCTTTAAGGAAGGTGAGATAAAAAATAACCTACCTCAGTTCCAAGTCAAGTTTATTAAAAACAGTCATAAGACCAGCAAAATAAACCCAAATAGGACAACACCGAATCTACAACATAGAATCCTTGCAGTCAATTCCGTCATTAATGGCTCGAGTTACAGTACATTCTGCGCTTTTTAATTACCAGGTAACAATATTTAGCAACACTGCGTGAGACAGGCTCATAAGTATCAGCCAATAAGAACTTCATCAAGCATTCCTCGGCATATGTAAGATAATTAGCCAAGGGTTTAAAACGAGAGAGAAGGGGTATCAACAGCTGCTGTCTCTCTTCGTCATACATAGGACAATGGAGTAATATATGGGAAGCCGACTCCACCTGTTTTAACAAACAGGAGCAAGTTCTCTTGTGCATGGGGGTCCGGGTATATCTACCATAAAGTACTGCTGAGGGTAACGCATCAAGCCAGAATAACCTACATATACAGAGGAATTATATTGATTTTTTTAAAAAAAAATAGTGATTGTTAGTGCGTGTTCAGCATTTTGGGGCTCCATCACCACCACCTCATCCTATCTTGGTAGCATTGTAGTGTTTCTTCAAAGGGAGAGGAGCCCTTAGACTGTGGCCCTTCATCGGAGCCATATTAGATGGTGTCAGACTGGGATGGTGGATTTTGTGTGCCTTTGAAGGGGGGCTAAGATACTGTATCCCGGTGGCTTTGTCTAGGCTAAGGCTTCCCTTCACTGTGCAGAAGTTTCCTTCTCCACGTTGGATCACTAGATCCTTCTAAATCAAAGCAGTAGTGCCTTCTCCCATTGCTTACAATTTTGCATTACTTCTTTTTGGCAGTAAGAGGGGCTGGATTAAAATCTGAATGTTTCTTAGAGTTGGGATGTGTGGAAGTCACTGCTCTGTTTCCCGCCCCTGCCCCCCCCCCCCCCCCCCCCCAATTTATTTTTATTTATTTCTTTGAATTTGTATCCCGCCCTCCCTGAAGGCTCAGGGCGGCTAACAGAGGCATAAATGCCAGATTATAGCAATAAAAACAGTATAAAATACAACAAAACACATACTACAGTTAAATAAGATTCTTAAAAATAAGTTAAATTATCGGTGCTCCAAATTATCGGTGCTCCAAAGAAAGACTTCTGCTTCTCCAGCCTGGTTCCATAACCACAGTAGAAGAAGCAAGAAGTCCGCTTTTCGAAAACCCAGAAGAAAGAAAGGGATCAGCAGGTATCTGCTTCCTATGTTTTGGAGGAGGGCAGGACTTCTCGTTTTATTGTTTTCCTACTGGAGAACAGAGTGATTTCTTGAGAGGAAACAGCCAGAGAATGTCTATGAAAGTGTTCTCAAAGGTGAAAGAGAAGTTAAAATGGGGGCAAAAAGGTTGACTTCATTGTACTTCAGGAGCTGCGGTGGCTCAAGTGGTTAAGTCGCTGAACTGCAGGCTGTGCAAGGTCGGTCGTTCAGCAGTTCGAGACCCGAGTGTGCCGCATGACGGAGTGAGCTCCCGTCTCTAGTTCCAGCTCCTGCCAACCTAGCAGTTAGAAAGGAAGAAATTGCAAGTAGATAAATAGGTACCACTTCAGGGGGAAGGTAACAGCGTTCTGTGTGCCTTGGTGTTTAGTCATTCCGGCCACATGACCACGGAAACGTCTTCGGACAGCGCTGGCTCTTCGGCTTTGAAACGAAGAATCCTAGAATTGGATTCGACTGGCTTTCGAGCAAGGGAACCTTTACCTTTACCTTACTTCAGCTTGGGGACAAATGTTTATACAGTACTCGGCTTTATTCAGGATGGATTTTTTTATATGCCACTTCTCCAGATACCTGTTTAAGGCAGTTCACAAAAATCAACAGTGCCATAAAACAGTGCAGACTACATCAATTATTAACATTAGAATTTAAAGAGGATGGGGGCATTACAAACAACATAAAGTGTCCATTGGGTAGCCTCAAAAATATCTACTGAACGGTGTAAAACCCTGCTCCATCCTGTTGGTCCCGCAAAAACTGTTCTGAAAAGTGTTTGAATACAGGAAGAGGTTTCTCCAGCGGTTCCTCTAGTCCCGTCTCCCATTTCCCACAGAGGCCAAGTGAAGGCCCTGGAACCAGCCTTTCAAGTGACACTTTCTCAATCATGGAGGTTCCACTGAGTCACCTGGCCTCTGATGAACTTACCCTCCAAGGAAGAATCAGAAGCCAATTAATATGTGGCAGGATTTTTCTCCCTTCTTGCTGATTTCTGTTCTGTTGTTATTAAGAGCAGTTAATGGACTTCTTTCTTTGATAGTCTCCTCTCTCTATTCCAGAGGTTGATGGTCCCCAGAATACGTCCAAGGGAGAACTACAGCAGTTTCTGTTGGGGGAAAAACAGCAGAGAAGAAACGATGGAACAGAATGGGAAAGTGAAAATGAATCCTCTTCTTCTCAGGGTGCTGAATCCCAGGTCTTTGATAAACAGCAGGAAATCCACACAGGGGAGAAAACATATAAATGCTTGGATTGTGGAAAGAGCCTTACCCGGAGTGTCAACTTTACTGCCCATCAACGTATCCACACTGGAGAGAAACCATATAAGTGTTTTGAGTGTGGAAAGAGCTTTTGTCGGAATGACAACCTTATTGTCCATAGACGTATCCACTCAGGCGAGAAACCATATAAATGCTTGGACTGTGGAAAGAGCTTTCCTCAGAATGCCAGCCTTATTGCCCATCAACGAATCCACACAGGTGAGAGACCATATAAATGCTCGGAGTGTGGAATGAGCTTTGCTTGGAACACCCAACTTACTACGCATCGGCTTATGCACACTGGGGAAAACCCATATAAATGCTTGGACTGTGGAAAGAGCTTTGCTCGAAGCAACACGCTTATTCGTCATCGACGAATCCACACAGGGGAGAAACCATATCAGTGCTTGGAGTGTGGGAAGCGCTTTGCTGTGAAGGGAGAAGTTACTTCCCATCAACGTATCCACACCCGGGAAAAACCATATAAATGCCTGGAGTGTGGGAAGAGCTTTGCTCGAAAGGGAGATCTTACTGGCCATAAACGTATACACTCAGGGGAAAAACCGTATCAATGCTTGCAGTGTGGAAAGAGCTTTGCTCGGAAGGGAGACCTTACTGGCCATCAACGTATCCACACAGGGGAGAAACCATATCAATGCTTGGAATGTGGAAAGAGCTTTGCTTGGAAGGGAGAACTTACTGGCCATCAACGAATTCACTCAGGGGAGAAACCATATCAGTGCTTGGAGTGTGGAAAGAGCTTTGCTCGGAGGTACACGCTTACTGCTCATCGTCGAGTCCACACAGGGGAAAAACCATATACATGCTTGGAGTGTGGAAAGAGCTTTGCTTGGAAGGGAGACCTTACTAGCCATCAGCGAATCCACATTGTGGAGAAACCATGTACATGCTTGGAGTATGGAAGCAGCTTTGCTTGGAAGGGAGACCTTACTGCTCATCAGTGTACACATCACTAGGGAGAAACCATATAAATGCTTGGAGTGTGGCAAGAACCCTGCTTTGAATGGAAACCCTGCTGCTCATCAAAGGATCCACACTGGAGAAAAACTATATAAATGCTGCCAGTGTGGAAAGAGCTTTGGTTGAAGCAACAATCTTACTGCTTATCGATGTATACACACTGGGGAGGAACCATGTAAATGTTTGGAGTGTGGAAAACGTTTGTTCAGAAGAAACATCTTATGAAACATCAATGAACCTATACAGTAGCAACAGTGTAAATGATTGAAGTGTGGAAAGAGCTTTGAGCAGTTGCACGCTTAGGACTCATCGACAAATCCACATGGGAGAAATCATATGAATGCTTTGTTCGTTTGAAGTGCTTTGCTCTGAATTCAACCCTTAATTTCCATTATAGAGCCCAGAAAGCGGCAAAATAAAGGCTCCAAGTGTGTGAAGAGATTTGGTTGTAGTATAACACTTACTGCCCTTCAAATAATTCATACAGGGCAGAAGCCCTTTAAATTCGCTGAGTGTGAAATGGGCTTCATGAACTACTCATGCCTTACTTACCAGCACAGGGCCCACACAGGCACATACCATATAAATGCTTGGAGTGTGGAACAGGCTTCAGTTGGAATAACTTTCTGGGATTGCATAACCAGGTCCACACCAGGGGAAAAGGAACATAAATACTTACAGTGTGGAAAGAGCTTCAACCACAAGTCCAGCCTTACGAGATATCATGATCTCCCTGCAGGGGAGCAATCTTGCTTCTTATCAAAGGAACCAGAAGAAGGGGAAGCTGTAGAAATGTTTATGGCTGGAGTTTTTGTGCTATATCTGGCATGAATTATACAGCTGTTGAACTGGTTCTTGTTAAGACCCGTTCCATTCGCAAATAAAACTGTTAGAATGCAGTTTGTGATAAAATGTGGGTGAGTTGACCTACCCCTTTATCACATGTCATGGGAGGGGATTCCACGTATTCAGGCTGTGATTGGAAGGGGGGGTACCTTGCAGTTCTGGGATTCAAGATCCTTTTGGCCAAATGGTTCTCTCTTTGTGTGTTTTCCCCACTTCCTTGGCACTCTGGACAGCCCCTATAGTATTATTATTATGGCCATGAGTTTAACTAACTTTTCAAGGGGGTTATGTGAATCCACGTAAGATTGCCATTATGGCTAATAGCTTTTGATGGGCCTAGTAGAACCTCCATGTTTAGAGGCAGCAACCTTCTGAATACTTGTGGGAGCTGAAGAGCCAAACATGAAAGGAATCAGGATATCCTGAACCATTGACCCCACAGGGACACCCCCCCACACACACACACACACCTCCACTCTGTATATAATGGTTGTCTGCAGCAGACATAACACATCTGGAAATAAAGCTAGGAGCCTCAAAATCGGCCCTTGGCTTCAGGATGATGATGAGAGATGCTAACCCCAAAACAAAGGGAATCAAAACAGTTTGGTGTCGTGGTTAAGTGTGCGGACTCTAATCTGGGAGAACCGGGTTTGATTCCCCACTCCTCCACTTGCACCTGCTGGATGACCTTGGACAAGCCGTAGTTCTGATAAGAGCTGTTCTTGAAAAAAAGCAGTTTCTGTCTGAGCTCTCTCAGCCCCACCTGCCTCACAGGGTGTCTGTTGCGGGGAGGGGAAGGGAAAGGAGTTTGTAAGCCGCTCTGAGACTCCTTTGGGTAGTGAAGGGCAGGGTATAAATCCAATCTCTCCTTCTTCTTCTTCATACTGGCCCAGAGTAGCTCAACAACATCCCTCTGCTTTTTGAAATAGAAGCCAAGGGTTACTCGTGAGAAACCAGGGAAATGCAAGCAGCACAGCCCTATGAAGAAGCACAAAGGGGTGTTACCGCTTCCCTGCCCTCCGACAGCCAGTGTGTGGTTAGAATGTCAGACTAAGGTCACGGAGATCCAGTTCTGAACCCCTATCGTGCTACAGAATGCAGCTGTCTGGGCAGGCACAAGATCTCAGCCCGACCTACCTTGCAGGGTTGTTGTGAGGTTAAAGTGGAGAGGAGAAGAATGTAAGCCAGTTTGGAGATAGGGGGTGGAGGATAGGAAGGGGGCTGGGGTGAGGAAAGCCCTCAGTGGGGCATGACATCATGGGGTCCATCCATCACAGAAGCCACTTTCTTCTGGGGGAAAAATCTCTGCATTACAGAGATGGAGGAGGAGATTAGATTTATACCCCGCCCTTCACTTGGAGTCTCAGAGCGGCTTACAATCTCCTTTCCCTTCCCCTCCCCACAACAGACACCCTGTGAGGTAGGCTCTGACAGCAACTGCTCTTTTTCAAGGACAGCTGTGCCAGAGCTTGTGACTGACCCAAGGTCACATCAGCAGGTGCAAGTGGAGGAGTGGGGAATCAAACCCGGTTCTCCCAGATTAGAGTCGGCGCACTTAACCACTACACCAAACTGGCTCTCTTGCACCAAACTATTCCAGAAAATCCCCAGGACCCACCAGGAGAATGGCAACTCTAGCAGAGCTGCTAGTTCATATATTCAAACTACCATTAAATATTGCAAACAGATACACCTCTAGTTTCAAATAAAAGCAATAGCCTAGAATGTCTTTTTCAGTTCCCACCCATCAGGATGTACCCCTGAGATCGGCTGGCCATTCTTTCAGTCCTGTGTGCCATGTGTCCCTGATTCCAGCCTGTTCCCTTCTCCCCTCCTCCCTGATGCACAAATCTGTGCCCCGTGTCCTCCCCGGGTCAAATGAGGAGCACACAGTCGGAGTCCAGTGGTTCGGATAAAAATCTGTTTATTGCAATAATCAGGAAAATACAGGACTGGATACCTTGGCATCCAGTGACACCAAGCTGTATTCTGCCCCAACCAGGAAGGGCAGTAGGTCTTATACCCCAAATGACATAATTATAGTTCCCACTTTAATGAATCCCTAATTGGTATCAGATAGGTAGCATCATTTGAGCTGGCACCTTTCCATTGGAGCATCTCTAGGCTGGTTGGAATTGCAAGTATTTGTGTCCGCTTATCTGGTCCCAGAACAGAGAAGAACATTAAGAAACAGTGAGAGTTTCTTTCAGGCATCATTTAGAACTTGTCTATCTGAACTTAGTAATGGGGAGTTTCCTGATAAGGTACAATACTTCACATAGGACTCTGCTCTTGGCAGATTTCCCAGGACCTGGTGCCTTGCTGTACAAAGAAAGATGTTTGGGAACATCTAGATTCTTTATAATTATTGGTTCACCACACATGTTTCATTCTCGGATGTCCTTCAGCTAGGGTGCTTGCATTTTCTAACTATGCTGTTAATCTTAGGCGCACTCAATTCTGTTGCTGTCTAATTATTGCTAAAAGCTCTTAACTTCTACTTCTTTCTGGAAAAGAATAAAACCATAAAACATATTCTAAGTTTCTTCTGTCCAATTGAAATACTAGGATCTGAATATACTATGGTCAGACTCCTAAAAGACACTGTGACAGCTGGGCGTGGGGTACAAGACAGGAAAAATGTCAGAAATCGCACTCATAAATCACATCCATTGATGACCCACTGCACAGCATGATGGGGTCAAACCAGGCACACCCAGCAAACGGACCAGGTCGCCCTCTACCACTATCAAGTCCAGACCTCCCTTGAATTGCCCGTACTGCACTCGAAAAGACCAGACCCCCTTAATTGGCACCCGGTTCCGCTGAAAGTCCATGAGCGTCACCTGAGCTGGACAGCGGGGTCCCCCCTTTGGGCACAAGCGTTTAAGCATGGCCTCCAAAATTATTGAGGCCGCGGAGCCAGAGTCTCTCTCCATACCACATGGTCTATTGTTACCGTGGCTAAAATTTTAGGGGTAGGCGATTTGCCAGGGAGTTACAGTACCTTTGTCACTGCATGTGTGAGGTGGTAGAGGTCCCCTGCCTCTGCGTCATCCTCGCAGTGTGCTTCCGCTCTGTGACGCGGTGGCGGTGCCTTCTTTGCCTTAGAGCGGCACACGGTCCGCCCGCAGTTTCGGCAGATCGCGTCGCGGAACCGGCATGACTTCCTCTCGTGCTTCTCTCCACAGCTCGCACAGTCGGCAGCTGCTGCGCGGGGTCTTTCTTGCCCTTGAGAGCGACACTTGGGGCCTGCGTATGCTCGGTAGACCTCTTGCTCCTCAGGGTCGTCCGGCTCAACCTGCAGGGCCGCGGTCGCGGCGGGGTGCGACCGCTCCCAGGCGATGGCGGTGGATAGGGCAGAGGCAAGGGTGACGGTCTCCGCTTCCGCAATCCATCGCTTGAGCTTCTTCTCCCTTAATCCCACAACAAAGCGGTCTCGGAGGGCCTCATCTAAGTTTGTCCCGAATTTACAGTCTGCAGCCAGGTGGCGGAGCTCTGCGAGGAAATCCGCGACTGTCTCCCGGGTGAGCTGGCTCCGGTTGTAGAACGCCAGCCGACAGGCCATCTCGGATGGAGCGTAGTGGTCTTGCACCGCCTTGATGATCTGGTCAAAGGAGCAGGCATCGAGGTCCGTCGGGGACAGCAAGCGTTCTGCTAGGGACACGACGGCAGTTCCGCAGGAGGCGAGGAGGAAACATCTCTTTTGTGCGTCGTCCGTCACCTTGTAGAAGGCGAGCGTGGACTTTACGCCTCGTACCCATGCACTCCAATCTTGCGGGCGAGCTGTGTTGAAGGGCGGCAGCAGGCCTGGTCGGGACACGGTTGCCATCGTGCACGTTTGGGCTGGCGGTGTAGAATCGGCTTCTCCTGCAGTCTCACTCATCGGTCAGCTGTGGAGCTGCGTGCTTTCAGTCGCCACTCGGCGGCCCGGCTGGCCTAGCGTCTTAATCCCATCCTCGTCGGGTTAGCCGCATGGAAGACCTGCTGAGGCACGCATGATACCCTGCACGCTTTACTAGTACACAACAAAGACCTATGGCCGGCTGGCCAACTATATACACACCTGGGGACACACCCCTAGGTCCCGTTGGTGGGTTCAAATCTCCCGCCACGGTCCCATTGGTCCCCCAGTGGAGAGACCAGGAGCCTAGTCCCCATTGTTCTTCCAGAGTCCAGCTCTGGGGTATTCGCTGGCCCCTGGTGGTGGTCAGCGGACACAACAGTGGGGATAAGCGTTCCACCTGGCACTGGCCTGGTGGAACTCTCCACCTAATGCCATCTGTTCCTAAAACAATTCCGGAGGGCCTGTAAGACAGAGATGTCCCACCAGGCCTATGGTTGAGGACAGCCACAGTCAACCATCAAACTGGCTTCCCCGTCTCCTCCCGTAGGAAAGGATATATAATGTCTAACGCCATCTGATTACTTGTGTTTACTGCTGGTTTATTGTTTTTAAATTTTAATCTGCACTTCTATGTATTTGAAGTTATTGAACTGTATTTATAAACTGCTGTAAACCTCTCTGAGCCCCATTGGGGGGAGGGCAGTATAGAAATAAATAAATAAATAAATAAAATGGAGGAGCGGAGAACAATGTAAGCTGGATCCCCGCCGGGGGAAAGGCAGTGTATGATGTTTGTTATGAATAAAGTTTTAGATGCAGTTTGGCACAAAATATGATTACTCTTGCCATTAGTTGATCCAGTATAACTGCTGCTGTTTTGGCAGGAGGCAGAAAGAATCATTCTGTCATCAGACTATCATTAAATGCCAAAGTTTGAATCCAGTGGCACATTTAAGTCAGAGTTTTCTTCGAGGTAAAAGCGTCCATGTGCACGCGCACTTCTTCAGATACATTGAAATGGAAGTTGCCAGTTCATACATAGAGGTAAAGGGTTAGCAGTAAATAAGCATACAGCATAATAAAGATATTTAACAGATGCAAGGACCAAACAGGAATAACAAGCTTGGTTTATGGGGTTACCATTTGTTTGGGTTTAATTCCCGGGGAGAACAAAGTGAAGGGCATAAATATGTCAAAATTGGAGATTGATGGGCAGATGTATCCTTAAATGTGGAATGTTGAGAGTAATTAACTGAGACCGTGCCATTATGCTCCATTTGTCTCCTCTGAGTCTGAAGCACTCTGGACAGTGATATCCAAAAACAATCGGGACGGGGGACGGGGGGGGGGACTCAGGGGCGTCTCATGCTAGAGAGTCTGCCCGCCATACGAGCCCCTTTCTCCAGCGGAAATGATCTCTGTGGCCTGGAGATCTCCAGGCGCTGCCTTAAGGTTGGGAACCCGCAAACAAGCAGGGGATCCCCCACCACCACGTGGGCAGAAGCGAGTCTTTCCCATCCCACGGTCTCCAGCTGCTCCCCAGTCCTGATCTTGGAAGGGTTTTTTTTTGGGGGGGGGGAAAGGTTCACTCGAAGGGTTAAAGGGAAAAAGTCCCCCTTCCTAGAGAGGCCGCAAAGGTGGAAGGGCACGTGATACGTGCCTCGCATTCTTCCAGTGGAAAGCTTGCCTTGAAGTTGCGCAGTGACGTCATCAGCGTGGTTGCTCAAGGCAGCCTGGGTGCTGGTGCAGATTTTTTAAAAAAGCAAATACAGAAATCATAAATTACCCTTTCCCTTGTAAGAGTTTCCTGGGACTCTGGAGAGCTCTCCCCCCCCCCAGGGCTCTGCTGCGGACCGACCCCGCTGCCCTCTGCACATGGGCAGAGTATCCTGTGCAGGTCACTGCTCTGGTCCTTGACTCCATAGAGGGATCTGGCAGAGGAGGAAGGTGATCCCTTTGTCCAGGTGGAGACTCTTTGGAGAGGAAGGGGGGGATGAGCGGAGAGCAGGACCCAGGAGATCTGGGAGCAAGAACAGGCCCTGATGCCACCGAGGCCGAGAGCAGAAGGGAGCTGTGTGAAGGAGCCGTGCAGAAGAGCCTGGGGGACAACGTCCTCCCTCCAGATGTGCAGCGCCAGCAATTTCGACACCTCTGCTGTGAGGAAAGACTCCACCGTCTTTGCCACCAGTGGCTGAAGCCAGAGATGCACAGCAAGAAGGAGATGCTGGACCTGGTGATCCCGGAGCAGTTCCTCGCTGTCCTGCCCTCAGAGATGGAGAGCTGGGTGAGGGAGTGCGGGCCTGAGACCAGTTCGCAGGTGGTGGCCCTGGCAGAAGGCTTCCTCCTGAGCCAGGCAGAGGAGAAGAATCAGGACCAGCAGGTGAGGGGGGCACAGGGTATGATCCCTTGAAATACATGTGGATCTTGTCTCACTAAAGTTTTAGTTTGTTCACCCGCTCAAAGAAAACAGGTGGACATGAGTGATCCAGTAGATGTTGTTTACCTAGACTTCAAGCTTTTGATAAAGTTCCTCATCAAAAGCTCCTAAGTAACTTAGTAGTCATAGAATAAGAGGGAAAATCCTCTTGTGCAGGGCTCTTTTTATAGAGAAAGCCCAGCAGGAACTCATTAGCATAATAGGCCACACCCAACAGCAGAAACTCATTAGTGTATTAGGCCACACCCATGACAGCACAGCTCATTGGCATAATAGGCCACACCCCCATGTTACCAGACGTGTGCTCATCCAGCCACACCCACCTTTTGCTTCTTATTCTGCTTACCTTGTTTGTTGTCCAAACCCAGGGCTTTTTTGTAGCAGGAACTCCTTTGCATGTTAGGCCACACACCCCTAATGTAGCCAATCCTAATGAGTTTCTGCTGTTGGGTGTGGCCTGTTATGCTAATGAGTTCCTGTTGGGCGTGGCCAACTTGGTAGCCAGCCGTAACGCCATTCCTGTGCGTTCCTGCCCAAAAATAGCCCTGCTCTTGTGGATTAAAAACTAGTTAGTTAACAGGAAGCAGAGAGTGAGTCTAAATGGGTGGCTATCACAGTGGAAGGTGGAGAGAAGTGGGGTACCGCAGGGCTTGGTGCCAAGTCCGGTGGTTTTTAACTTGCTCATTAACAACTTGGAGTTAGGATTAAGTAGTGAAGTGGCTAAGTTTGTGGATGACAAAAAGTTGTTCAGGGCGCTGCAACTGAGGAAGTACTGTGAGGCTCGCAGCAGGATCAGTTGACACTGGGCGAGTGCACGTCAAGGTGGCAAATTAGGCGGACAAGTGCAAAGTAATGCACATTGGAGCCAAAATCCTAACTATAAATACAAGTGAATGGGATCCGAACTGGCAATAACTGACCAGGAGAGAGTTGTGGTATGTAGCTCACCGGAGATGTCAATTCAGTGTGTAACTGCAATAAAAAAGGCAAATGCTATGCTGGGGATTATTCAAAAGGCGAAAGCAAACCGGCCTGTATCATAATGCCCCTGTATATATTGATAGTGCAGCCTCATTTGGAACACTGTGCACAGTTCTGGTCACTGCATCTCAAAAGTGATATTCTAGCATTGGAAAAGGTGCAGACAAGGGCATCTAAAACGATGAAGGGGATGTAACACCTTCCCCATGAAGAGAGGTTAAAGAGGTTAGACTTTTTAGCTTGGAGAAACAACAATTAAGGGGTAACATGAAAGAGGTTTACAAAATTATGCATGGGGTAGAGAAGGTAGGGGAAAGCACTTTTCTCCCTTTCTCAAAATAGAAGAATTCATATACACACAAAGAAATTGATGAGCAGTAGGCTTAGAACAGACAAGTACTTCTTCACCCAAAGAGTCATTAACACATGGAATTCACTGCCGCAGGAAATGCTGGTGGCTACAAGCATAGACAGCTTCCAGAGGGGATTGGATAAACATCTGGAGCAGAGGTCTAGGAATGGCTATTAGTTGCAAGGTATAGATGGAACACTCTGTCTGGGGCAGTGTTGCTCTGTATTCTTGATGCTTGGGGGGCAACAGTGGGAGGGCTTCTGGAGTTTTGGCCCCACTGGTGGACCTCCTGATGGCCCCTGGGCTTTGACCACTGTGTGATACAGAGGGGTTGGACTGGATGGGCCATTGGCCTGATCCAACATGGCTTCTCTTATTTTCCTTTGTATCCCAACTTTTTGGAGACTCTCTCCAGCCTGTTTCCTTTTCCTTGTCTCATCAGTCTCCTCTTTCTGGGGTCCCCGCTTCTGTTTCAGGTGCAGGAGGAGATCACGCAGGAGGGTTATCCTGAAGCAACCTTTCCAGGTAAGGCCTAAAGGGGTGTCTTTCTCAGTGGATGTCCTCCTTGTATGTAGGTGGGCTTCTTTTGTTGTCCCCCCCCCCCACTGTGTGGGAAAGATGCTCCACTCCGGCTCCTCAACTGAAAATATCCCATGTCAGTCCAAGGAATTCTGTATCTGAACTACCATCTTGAGATATCCCCATGAGCCGATATACAGAGGATATATTTCTCCCAATGTTCAAGAAACAGAAATGGAAAGGACAGAATGTCTTCCAAGTATTGTTTCATCCCTCACAGGTGGTCCCATGAAACCAATGACATATTCTTCGCCATCTCTTTGTGGCAGAGCAGCTACCATGAAGCCAGAGCAGGTAAGTGTGGAACTGCGGATCATGCCCCTGGGTGGCTCTCCCCACCCTTTCCTAGACCTGAGAGATTATTCATTTTTCCTTTCACTGCGGTTCTGCTCACTGAACAGAAAACGAAGGTATCTCATAAAGGTCTGAATGCTCCAGCATCTAACCACAGTCCTTTTTGGTTAACCTTAGGAGGAAGGAATTGCTACATTAGCATGAGGAGAGAGGGCATTCCTTTTTTGTCTCTTTTCAGGGTCTGGTGACGTTTGAGGAGGTGTCTGTTCATTTCACGGAGGAGGAGTGGGCTCTGCTGGACCCGAACCAAAGAATCCTTCACAAGGAAGTCATGGAGGACAATCGTCAGAATGTGGCCTCTCTGGGTAAGGCTCCCCAGTCCCTTGATTCACAGGTGCTGAAGGGAGAAATGGCTCCTTCTAAGGAAGACGATGATAGGTCTCTTCTGATAGGGACTCTCGTTAGGAGACTGGAATGGATCTGGTGCACACGCAGGCAAGGGAGAGACTTCTGCTTGTGTAGTGAACCCCCTAAGTATTAGTTTCTAAGCTAACAGGAGAGTTTGTAAAAAATAATAATAATCACCTAACGAGCCACTGAAGATTGAACAGATGAATGGCCATGGAAAGTCAAGGGGGCAGACAGCCAAAAGGGAGGTTTTTCAGCTGGGCCACCTCATGGGCTGTTCTGAGGCCCTTCAAGGAAGGATGAGGTAAAAATAACCTACACTGACAGAGGAATCAGATTGAAAACATTTTTTAAGAAATTGGGGATTGTTAATTGAAGGTTGACGAGGGTTCAAAGAAGACAGAACACAGGTCTGTAGAAAGCTGACTGACGCTGTCTGGCTTCAAGCGTATTTATTGAAAATCTCCTCCCTCCTTTCTTTCCCTCCTCCCCTCTACATTACAGCATGCTATGGAATGTGTTTTTTAACAGCTGCACTCTCTTTATCATCCTGGGCTCTTGGCCAAATGACTTCATCTGCTTAGGAAGTCACCAGATGCTAACTCGTGCAATCAGCACACACACATACTTGGGTTCCCAATTTCCAGCCAAGAGAAGTGCTTACTGGGTTTGCCACAGATAACCACTGTTCCTTCAGTTAATAAGTGTTTTGGGGAACCATCACCACTTTATCCTGTCCTGGTAGGATTGAGGTGTCTCTTCAAAGGGAGAGGAGCCCTTTTACAGCAGCTCTCTGTCAGAGCCGCATTAGATGGTGTCAGTCTGGGATGTTGGATTTTGTGTGCCTTGGAAGGAGGCCGAGATATTCTGTCTTGGTGGCCCTGGCTTCTTCTTCACTTTGGGCTGCTATAGGATCCAAAGATCCTTCTGGATCCAAACAATAGTGCCCTCCCCTCCCATTACAGACATGCTTCAGGGGTTTACAAATTTGCCGTTCCTTCTTTTTGCCATTAAAAGGAGCTGGGATTCATATAGGCTGGTTTAGAATCTGAATGTTCCTTAGAGTTGGAACGTGTGGAAGTCACTGATCTGTTTCTTTCCCTCAAAGAAAAACTTCTTCTCCATCCTGATTCTATGTACACTGTGGAAGAAGCAGGAAATCAGCTCTTCCAAGACTCAGAAGAAAGAAAGACATCAGCAGATCTGCTTCCTTTTGTGTCGGAAGAGGGTAGGACTTCTTTTGGGATTATTTTACCTACAGGAGAATGGAATGATTTCGCAAGAGTTTTCACAAATGTGAAAGTAAAACTAAAATGGGGATGAAATGGCTGGCTTGTTTGTACTTCAGCTTGGGGGGAAATGTTTATTCAGTACTCCACTTTATTCAACATGGGCCCCGGTCACACGGCAAAGTTGCCACGGGAGAGGCACGGATGGTGGGTGGATTATCTGGGCGCGATCACACCCCAACATCTGGGAAGTGGAGCGCACCCATGGCTTACCGCCGACAATGCGTCTTAAAAAACTAGTACCTCCAAGGTACTAGTAAACGTTTGCCATGGGCTGCCTCCAGACGCCCGTGGTGTGATCGCGCTGGTGCGCGCGGCATTCCCCTCTGGTCCCTCGTTTACCCACCGGCACCGAGGGAAGGACCCGTGGTGTGCCGCCGGCGCATCTGATCGTGTAATCGCGCATCAAACTGGGCCGGGGCAATTAGCCACGCCTCCCCCCCCCCCCGCAATATCCGGCCTGTGTGACTGGGGCCATGGATTTATTTATATACTGCCTCTCCAGATATCTGTTTGAGGCAGCTCAGAAGTATCAGCAGTGCCATAAAACAGTGCATACTACATAAATGGTCAACATTAAAATTTAAAGAATCGGGGGGGGGGGCAGAAGAACTGCATGAAGTATCCATTGAGTAGCCTCGAAAATATTCACTGAACAGCTCTAAATTTATTTATTTATAGTCAAATTTATACCTCGCCCTCCCCGCAAAGCAGGCTCAGGGCGGCTTCCAACAACAAACACAACAGTACAGAATAAAAACATAAATAATACAGAATTAAAACACAGCATTTAAATCAGAACATTGCAAAATATCAGAATACTAAAGAGAGAACACATGAAGCGGCCTCATACTGAATCAGACCCTTGGTCCGTCGGTGTCAGTATTGTCTACTCAGACTGGCAGCGGCTCTCCAGGGTCTCAGCCGGAGGTGTTTCACATCACCGTCAACCTGATCCTTTTTGTAAACTGGAGATGCCCAGGATTAAACCTGGGACCTTCTGCATGCCAAACAGATGCTCTACCAGTGAGCCACAGCCCTTCCCCTAAAAAAGCAGACCACAAAACACCTACAAAAAAATCCACTCTAACTTAAAACCCAGCTGAAAAGCCATGTTTTGGCCTGGTACTTCAAAGATAAGAGCATCAGAAGAGCCCTGCTAGATCAGGCCAGTGGTTCATCTAGTCCAGCATCAGTGTTCCCTCTAAGCTGAGTTAGTGTGAGCTAGCTCACAGTTTTTTAGCCTCCGGCTCACACACATTTTTGCCTTAGCTCAGGAAGGATGGCTCCAGAGCCAACTAATTGATGCAGGAGCCAAGCCACTCACCCACAACTTTAATGCCGGAAGCTCACAAAGTAGGATTTTTGCTCACAAGACTCTACAGCTTAGAGGGAACATTGTCCAGCATCCTGTCTCACACAGTTGCCAACCAGTTCATCTGAACAGCCAACGACAGGGCACAGAGGCTGAGGCCTTTCCCTGACTTTGCCTCCTGTCTCTGGAGACTCAGAGGATTAGTGCCCCTGAATGTGGAGATTCCCTTCAGTCACCACGGCTAGTAGCCACTGAAAGACCTATCCTCCATGAATCTATCTAATCCCCGTTTAAAGGTGTTTATTCCTGTGGCCATCACGACACTCTATGGCAGCGGATTCCACATTTTAATCACTCTCTGTAAGATAGCACATTAGGCTCCAGGCATGCTTTGGATGGGCCACCACTAAAAATTCCCAACCTCTGGTGGCCACATACCGTAAGGGCACAGAGAGCAGAGTTTGAAAGACAGATCTTTATTGAGGGGACAAGGGTATGGCAGAAGGGCAGATCTTCAAGTACTTCAGCTCCATTTAAGGCAGTGAAGATCATAACCAGCACTAAGGAAAGTGCTCCAGTTGGTCCATCTAGAGCAATAGCATCTCTTCTGACAGGCAGTGGTGCTTCAAGAGAAGAGGGGGATGGACCTGGGTTGTGATGAGTCCAGGGCAGATGTGTTAGGGGGGAAGCTGGCCTTTCCTTTATTTGTTGGTTTCTGTTAATTCTCCCCAGTTATCCTGCTCCTCTTTTACAGAGTGGAAGCAGCACTTCTGAGTGTATTCCATTCACCTGCACAATGACCCTGTGTTCTGGAAAGCACTGGAAAAGTGATTGGCCTAAGACTACTCCAGTGTGCTGTACAAGTGGGCAGCTCAGCTTGGGTCTCCATAGTTCGAGTGCAAAGCCTTGCTCCACACTGTCTGTCCAGTAAAAGCTGTTCTGTGATCTGTTTGAATACAGGAAGAGATTTGCCAGATGTCCTCTAGTCCAGCCTCCCATTTCCCAGAGTGGCCAAGTAGATTCCCTGAAAGGTTTGACAAGCAGAGGAGGAGCCAAAGCCTCCCCTTGGGATTGCCCTGCTGGCAACGAGCCTTCAGAGAGTTACCTTTGCTAAAATGGAGGTTCCACTGAGTCCCCTTGCCTTTGATGGAACTACATGCCAAGAAAGAATTAGAAGCCAATCAGTATGTGACAGAATTTATCTCCCTTTTCAGTAACTTCTGTCCTGTCATTATCACGAGCCCTTAATGGACTTCTTTCATTGATAGTCTTTTTTTTTATTGCAGAGGTTGATGGTCCCCGGAATAATTCTAGGGGACAGCCACAACAATTCCTGTTGGAGGAAAAACAGCAGAGAAGAAGCACCGAAACAAAATGGAAGAGGGAAGATGAATCCTCTTCTTCTCAGGTGTTTGATACACACTGGGGAATCCACACATTAGCAAAACCATATAAATGCTTGGAGTGTGGAAAGAGCTTCGCTTGGAAGGGAGACCTTACTGGCCATCAACGAATCCACACAGGGGAGAAACCATATAAATGCTTGGACTGTGGAAAGAGCTTTGCTCGGAGTGTCAACTTTACTGCCCATCAACGTATCCACACTGGCGAGAAACCATATAAATGCTTGGAGTGTGGAAAGAACTTTGCTTGGAAGGGAGACCTTACTGGCCATCAACGAATCCATACAGGGGAGAAACCATATAAATGCTTGGAGTGTGGAAAGAGCTTTGCTTGGGTCGTCAACTTTACTGCCCATCGACGTATCCACACTGGGGAGAAACCATATAAATGCTTGGAGTGTGGAAAGAGCTTTCGTCGGAGTGACAACCTTACTGTCCATCGACGAGTCCATTCAGGTGAGAAACCATATAAATGCTTGCAGTGTGGAAAGATTTTTGCTCGGAGTGATAATCTTACTGCCCATCAACAAATCCACACTGGGGAGAAACCATATAAATGCTTGGAGTGTGGAAAGAGCTTTGCTTCGAAGGGAGCCCTTACTGCCCATGAACGAATCCACACAGGGGAGAAACCATTTAAATGCTTGGAGTGTGGAATGAGCTTTGTTCGGAGTGCCCATCTCACTGCCCATCGGCGAACCCACACAAGGGAAAAACCATATAAATGTCTGGAGTGTGGAAAGAGCTTTGCTCGGAGTAACACACTTATTACTCATCGACTAAACCACACATGGGAAAAACCTTATAAATGCATGGAGTGTGGAAAAAGCTTTGTTCGGAGTGACAAACTTAGTGCCCATCAACGAATCCACACAGGGGAGAAACCATATAAATGCTTGGAGTGTGGAAAGAGTTTTGCTCAGAGTAAAGACCTTTCTATGCATCAACGAATCCACACAGGGGAGAAACCATATAAATGCTTGGACTGTGGAAAAAGCTTTGCTCAGAGCTCACACCTTACAGCCCATCGACAAATACACACAGGGGACAAACTTTATAAGTGCTTTGATTGTGGAAAGAGTTTTGGTTGGAAGCGAACCCTTATTGGCCATCAACAAATCCACACAGGGGAGAAACCGTATAAATGCTTTGACTGTGGAAAGAGCTTTCATCGGAGTGACAACCTTATTGTCCATCGACGAATCCACTCAGGAGAGAAACCATATAAATGCTTGGAGTGTGGAAAGAGCTTTGCTCGGAGCGACGTGCTTATTGCTCATCGACGAATCCATACAGAAGAGGAACCACATAAATGCTAGGAATGTGGAAAGACCTTATGGGCCAACAAATCCACACAGGGAAGAGAAATAAATTCCTGGAATGTTGAAAGAGGATTGCTTAGAATCTCACCCTTTCCACTCATCAAAATATACACATTGGGAAGTAACCAGATAAATGGAGTGTAGAAAACCTTTGTTCAGAAGGAACGTCTTGTGAAACACCAAAGAACCTACAATGTAGAAATGATATAAATGCTTGGGGTGGAGCCTAGGGAGGGGATGGTTGTGGAGGGGACAGACCTCCGTGGTGTTTCATGCCATGCAGTCCACCAACTGCAGAGGCTGTTATCTCCAGGGTAACTGATCCTTGTAGCATGGAGAAAAATATTCCAGTTCTCCAGGCTCCACCAGGAAGATGGCAACCCCAGGCAGAGCTTCTTATCACTCTCCAAACTTACATCAAACATTGCAAGTGGGCACACCTGTATTTTCAAGTAAAGGTAGAACGTTTCTTTGTAGTTGCCAACACAAGTATATACTTCCAAAGTCAGCTTGCCATTATTTGAGTTTTGTGTGCATTCTTTTCCAAATTCCATCCATCTCCCCCCTCACCTCATTCCTGTCTTCCTTCTGGAAGCTTCATTCATGCCCCTTTTTCTAACAAGACTCAGAATCTTCTTATATTTTCTTGCCACCTGTGGGCATACCCCGATATACCCGCCCACTAGGAAATTATTACTTTATTTAGAGAACTGATATGCCTCTTCTCCAGAAAGCTGTACAGGAAATAATAAAACCCAATAAATAATTAAAAAACAAAACAACTGAAACAAATGGAGTCTCTTAGATAGCAACCTGGGTGGGGAATATGTGTGTGTTTGTTAGAGGAACAAGAAGGCCGAGAGAGAGAGGGTGACCCATGCTTATTTATTCAGCTTGCACTCTGTTGTCTGTAAATGCTGTTTTGTTTTTCTTTCTTAGGAGTCAGTCCTGTTGAATAAACTTGAGTAGGTTTTTGAGTAGACCCACTTCAGATTGCTTTGTTTTGCACTGTGCTACTCGTCTAATAATTACAGTCTCCCCTCCCACCCATACCCCTCTGTGATCCTTCTTGGAGCTTCACTCGTCTACCTTTTCCTTCCATCGGTGAGAATCTCCAGGTTTCTTTTAGCTGCTTGTAGTCATGATTTCAAGTAATATATAAGAGACCTCCAAGTTGATACAAGATCAGAGTTATCGAAATGACCAGGGAAACGTGTTGTATGAAATGCCATAGATACTATATTGACATTTTATACAAAGTGTAAATTAATTTTAAGGTGCTTAATTCATAAATTTGTAAAATACCACCTATGAATTCATACATAAGAATCTCAATATTATAAACAGATCACAATACATTAAGAGAATCACAATACATCAATATATTAACAAAGCTTCTGGCTTGAGTCTTCGTTTCGCTCCTAAACTTCCTCAAAAGTAAATTCTCTTATGACTTTCTCAGAAGTAAATTCTCTTATTCATCATTTTGCTACAAGACAAACATTACAAGCACGTATCATAAAGAAGGTGTCAAGAGGAAATATCAATTGTTATACTGAAATAAATTGAGTTGGAATTTCTTGTGTACCATTTAGTGAGTGTCGTCTCTTTTATTTTCCAAGGTTTTCTCTCTCTCTGCTTATCAAAGCTTATGTTCCTGTCCATATCTCCATTCAAACTAAAGGGTACACATTGTCTTGTAGCAAAATTATGAATCAGAGAATTTACTTCTGAGGAAGTCTAGGAGCGAAACAAAGACTCAAGCCAGAAGCTTCGTTAATATATTGATGTATTGTGATTCTCTTGATGTATTGTGATCTGTTTATAATATTTATTTATTTATTTGTTTGTTTGTTTGTTAAATTTATATCCCGCCCTCCCCCGTAGGGCTCAGGGCGGCTTACAAGGCAGATTCTTATGTTGAGATTCTTATGTATGAATGAATAGGTGGTATTTTATACATTTATGAATTACGCACTTTAAAAATTAATTTACACTTTTTATAAAATTTCAATATAGTATCTATTGCATTATAGTCATGATTTCCCCATTGCTTAGGAAGTCACTTACTGCTTCATTTAGAGAATTTATATTCCACATCTCCAGACACCTGCTCAAAGCAGCTCTCCACTAAAGAATAAAATCAAACTAAACTGGCAATTATAAACAAACCAGGATACAAAAATTGCATGAAGTAAACCTTGAGCAGTCTAAAGAATATCCATAAAGAGTCCTCAGCCCAAGATCAGGCCTTCAATAGAGCCCTTTAGTTAAATTCCTGGGTCAAAAGAAACCTCTTTCTTAAAGGCAGGAGGAAGCCAAGTGGGAAAGGGTGCCCTGTAATACTCTGGAGAAGTTAACCTGGAGTTAGACCTGTGCCTAAAGAGAGACTAACTTAAAACAGTTATGAGAACTGGTTTGAGAAAGGATCTCTTGTTCCTTCCCACAGTGTGCGCACACAAGTTTCTTTCTCTTGCTCCCAATCAAATAGGCTTGCAGGGTTTTCAGAAATTACCCACACCCTGTTTATTCCAGGGGAAAGCAGGTTGCTGTCCCCCCCCCGCAGCAGCAGTGGGGCCGTGGCTCAGGAGCAGATCACCCGCTTTGCACAATATGACAGGGCTGCCATAACTGCCAGATTGCCCACATTTACATTTGGGCAGGGGTCGTTTCGTAGGAAAAGAGCTAGGGGAACTCATTGGCATAACTCATTAGCATATGCCACACACCCTGACATCACCGGACGTGTGTCATAAGGCCACACCCCCTGACATCACCGGAAGTGTGTCATAAGGCCACACACCCCGCCCCCAACAGTCCCGGCCGCCGCCGGCCTTGCAGCTCCACTGCTGAGCCCGATGAGGGGCTCGGCGGTGGACCTGCAAGGCCGGCAGGAGTGCAAGGAAGCCCCGCGAAGGCCCTCCCTGGCCCCAGGTAGGCAGGGGTGGGGAGAGGCAGGGAGGAAGCAACTTACCCTCCCTCTCCTCCTGCCTCCTCCTGGCTGAATGAGGGCCAGAAGCGGGGCGGCCGGAAGCAGGGGGCGGGGCTTCGTCATGTGCCCCACCCCCGTACCTCACCCTGGGGAACTGCGATCCCCCCCCCCGAAATGACCTCTGCATTTGGGCAATCCAGCTGTGCTTTAACAGCTGTGATTCAGGGCAGAATTCCCCAGTGTCTTCCTGGATTGCTTTCAGTATAAGCCTGGAAAGTGATATCAATCTCAGTAGACTCCCAGAACTTGACAGCAAACGCTTTCAATAGCTGAACATGTCTCATTTGACATCTGCAATCCCTTGTGAGCTGAATTCCTGGTCTGTTTCTCTGTCCAAGTCTCCGGCTGAGGCCTTTCCTTAAATTAGAGAGGCCAAAGATTAAATCTGAGACCTTCTGTGTGCCGAGCAGATGCTCTACCTCTGAGCCATGGATCCATTTCTATGAGAGTGGGGGGAATGTAGGACTGTGATGAGGCTCTCTGATATATGCTGAGTAAGTGATGACAATCCCATTATACTGCCAATCATACTGCACTCTAGTTGAAAAGTCCCCTGACCAACAGGGTTCAACTGTTTGCAGACAGTGAAATGACAGCGAATTGGCTCCATGTTCTCAGCTGGTGAGCAGAAGGTGAGCAGAACTGTTCAGTATTCAAGCTTGGCTACCATGCAGGGGAAGCCCTTCTGACATAGCTCTACATGATGTCAAACTATAAACACACTATAAACAGCAGGAGCCCTGCTTGCATTTCAGTGGAACTGAATGTGATTCCCCCACCATGTTTTAGTGACCAAGATCCTAAGCAGGGAATTCTTTAGTCAGTGGTAGGGTTGGGAAGAGAGCTGGAAGGAACCTTGGAAGTCATCTGGCCCAGCCTGTGTGTTATTGTAGGAGCAGGCAGCTACAGAGCATTCTCAGCTGGGCCTCGCAGCCAGGCTCTGACTGGACATAGAAGTGCTTAGCTTCCCCAGGGTTGCTACATCAGCCTTTCAGTCATACCCTTAGAATGATAGGCCAAGAGAGAGTTGTGGGCAGGGGTGAGCTTTTGTCTGTCCTGAACCTACTGCCCATCAGCTTCATTGGTATTTAGTGAGAGAGGAAAAAGTTATTTTTGTCAGCTCTCTCCACCCCATGTCTACTTTTATAAACCTCTATCATGTCGTCGTCCCCAGTCATCTCTTTTCTAAGCAGAAAAGTCCCAGACTCTTCAGCCTCTCCTCACAGGAAAGGTGCTCCCGCCCCCTCATCATTTTGGTTGCTCTTCTTTGTACTTTTTTCCAGCTCTGCAGTGTCCTTTCTGAGAGACAGTGGCCCAAACACACTCAGAAATAACACTGCTTGCATTTAAGCAGCGATGAGTTTGAGTCCACTTCTGGTATCACTGACCAAACTCCTAAGAAGGCAGCTCTTTAGCCAATGGCAGGGTTGGAAAGAGGGAGTTGGAAGGAACCTTGGAGGTCATCTAGTCTAGCCCCCATGGGAGTCTATAGGAACAGGTAGCTACAGGGCATTCTCAGCTAGGCTGGGGGGCCCCAGCCAGACCACGACCAGATGTAGATGTGCTTAGCTTAGCTTCCCCGGGGTTGCTAAATCAGCCTTTCACTCATACCCTTAGAATGATGACAGGCCAAGAGGAAGTTGTGGGCAGGGAAGAACAGGGGATCCACAGACCTGGAAGCCTGACAGCCTCCCAGGCAGGGGTCATTTCCTGCAGGAGCACACAGGAGCAGAGCTCCGGCAGTAAAGAGCCCAGGGGGTGGGCACATGCAGCAAGCCCCACCCCCTGCTCCCAGCAGCCCTCAGTCAGAGCAAGAAGCAGCAAGGTAAGTTGCAGAGCTCCCCCCGCCCCCCCTCTCCAAAACAGTCCAGTGGCACCTTTAAGACCTAGTTTTATTCAGGTACAAGCTCTCCCTCCTCTGCAAGGACAGATCTGTACCCCCCCCCCCTAGCTAGCAATCCAAAAGAGTCCAGTGGAGCCTGAGTGGTGGGTGTTGCCTTCTGACACACTTCCGGTGATGCC